TTTATGACAAAAAAACCTTACATAAAATTGGAAAAGATGGTCTCTGTATCTCAACATGATAAAGGCTAGCTATGAAAACCCAACAGCCAACATCATACTAAAAGATCAAAAATTCAAAATGTTCACGCTAAAATCAGGAACGAGACAAAAATGTCCGCTATCACCACTCCTGTTCAATATAGTTCTGGAAACATTAGCCACAGCAATTAGGCAAGAGAAAGAAATCAAAGGAATACAAGTAGAAAGAAGTTAAACTGTCACTATTTTTTGAACAGCATGATACTTTACAAAGAAGATCCAGAAAATTCCATCAAAAGGCTTCTACATTTAACTGACATTCAACACAATAGCAGGATACAAGGTCAACATTCATAAATCAACAGCCTTCTTGTACACAAATAACAGACTCACTGAGAGAGAAAGTAGGGAAACAATTTCTTTTGCAGTAGCATCCAAAAAACTGAAATATCTAGGAATCAGTCTAACAAAGAAAGCAAAAGACCTCTACATTAAAAACTACAGCACTCTGAAAAAAAGAGATTGAAGAGGATATAAGAAAATGGATAGATATCCCTTGTTCCTAGGTAGGAAGAACCAATAGAGTGGAAATGTCCATACTTCCAAAAGTGCTATAGATTTAATGCAGTCATGACTGAAATCCCAACAGTTTATTTCATAGAACTAGAAAAAACAATCCAAAACTTCATTTGAAACCAGAAGATACCAAGAATAGCAAAAGCCATTCTAGCAAACAGAGTTATGAAAGGCGGTATCATAATCCCCATCTTGAAAGTATACTACAAAGACAATGTGATAAAAACAGCATAGTACTGGCAAAGAAACAGAAATCACTGGAATAGATTAAAAGATGCAGAAAAAACTCCAGATGTACTCAGATACCTCACTTTGACAAACGAGCCACCATCCTCACTGGAGGAAAGATAGCCTCTTTAATAAATGGTGTTAGAAAAACTGGATTTCAGCCTGCCAAAGATTAAAACTAGACACCTGTATTTCACCATACACTAAACTAAAATCAAAGTGGATTAAAGATCTAAATATTAAAACAGAAACACTAAACTTGCTGGAAGATAAGTTAGGTAGAACTCTTGAAAACATTAATACAAGAAAAGACTTTTTTTAACAAAACCTCAGCAGCACGGGAACTAGCACAAAGAATCAACAATTGAGATCTCATCTTATTAAAAAGCTTCTGCACTGCAAGAGAAACCAAGAGAGCTAAAATACAACCTACAATGTGGGAAAAAAAATTTATCAGCTGTTCCTCAGACAAAGGACTACTATCTAGAATATATAAAGAACTTAAAAAAATCAGACTCCCCAAATTTAAAGACCCAATTCAAAAATGGGCATCTGAAATGCACAGATAAAGAAGTAAAAGCAGCAAATAAACATATGAAAACATGTTCAACATCAATGGTCATTGAAGAGATGCAGATGAAAACAACACTGAGATTCCATCTCACTCCGGAAAGAATGGCTGCTATGAAGAAATCAACCAGTAACAAATGCTGGCGGGACTGTGGGGAGAATGGAACTCCTCTCTATTGTCTGTGGGAGTGCAGACCGGCACAACCACTGTGGAAATCAATATGGAGATATTTCAAAACACTAGGATTGGAGGTCCCATTTGATGCAACTATTCTCCTACTGGGTATCTTCCCAAAAGAATTAAAGAATCATACCACCCAAGGTTATAGCAGCAAAGTTTGTAGTAGCTAAAGCTTGGAAGCAGCCAATTTGCCCATCAATTGGAGATTGGATAAAGATGTGAGATTTTTTTTTTTAGACAATGGAGTACTACTCAGCCATAAAGAATGAGAAAGTAGAGACATTTATAGCTAAATAGATGCACAGTGAGGCCATACATTTACCTGAAATAAATAGGACACACATGTGTAAATACCAAATAGTTTCCCTGGTGTGAGAAACTAAAAGTGTAAATAAGGATCCAAATGTACAACTGATAATGTGAAATAGGAAAAAAAGGTCTTAAAGGACTAGGGGAAGTGAGAGGGGTAGGAGAAAGGAAAGAAAGGTAAGGCAAAAATAAGAGAAAAGGAAAAAATGGAAACAAAGTCTTTGTAAATAGGGAGGGGTGGAGGGTTTGAAGGGAGGGCAGGGGAAAGGGGAAAAAATAAGAACCAAGATACATCATATAAAAGTACAAGTTCCCAGCAATGAATGTAACTGAATTGTATATCTAAAATGTACCAATAAACTTAATGAAAAAAATGCTCCTCGAAAGGCAATTATATTAAATATGTAAGTGTAATAAAGTGATTAGGGAATCTTAAAAAAAAAAGATATATTAACCAAATATTACTCTAAAGAATGCAAAGCTCTACATAACACTCGATTTTTCTAGCCAGATCCCAAAGTAATGATAATTACAGCTTTAGGAAGTACAGTCTAAATCAGTGGTGGTGAACCTATGGCATATGTGCCACAGTGGGCACTCAGAGCCCCCTCTGTCACCTTGTGAGTCAAGTCACCCCAGCAGCTGAATATCATAAAACAGTTGTTTTTTTACAACCAAAAGGTTAGTATTCAGGTTTAATTGCCGTGTTAGCCACTCTGCAATTAGTAAGTGGTTTTTAGGCTGCAGTTTATATATACTCCATTTCTAAAAGGTTTGTCATCACTGGTCTAAAGAGTACAAAAGAACAAGCTAAATTGTGAGAAATTTTAAATGTATTACAGTAAGACCAACAAAAATTCACCTCAGAAAAAAACAGGATCATATTATAATAATGATATGAAGACATGATACACTTATCACAATTTATAGCAGTGTATCAGTATGGTTTCCAAATAGTTTTCTTTTCACTTGACAGGAAATAGTTTTTTTTATTCACCTGAAGAAATCTTCAGAGCATGTGTATTTCATACCAAGCTCAATGGCCATAAAAATAAATTAGCCAAGATTCTTGTCCTTCCCCTCTCAGTAAGTCCACTGCGGCTGGAGCGCTCGACCAACAGGAATGGTATTACAAGCAACTCTGAAACCACAGAGAGAGTAAGCAAAAGTAATCCCAGCACTCTACAGAATGAGCACAAATTTGAGACGAGACTGGGCAATTTAGTGACTTCGCAAGACTTTGTCTCAAAATGAAAAATAAAAATAGGGTTGGGGAGTAGCTCAGTGCAAAGGCCCTGGGTTCCATCTCCTGTATCACATAATGATGATACTGATGATGAAAATGATGATGATAAAAAGAACAACAAAATGTTATTCAAGTGTGGGGAAGGAATGAATATTCTGCCTAGATATACTCCTGAACCCTGAACTAATACTGTCAACTGCATATATCTCTTGGACATCTCATTGGCATCTCAAACTTAACCTGTCTAAAATCAAGTTGCTGAAAAACTCAATATATCTAATCCTCTTGTTTTACTCTTAAAGAACAGCTATACCATGTTTTTAACTGCCCTATCAGATCTATAACACAGTGTATAAGTTCATTTGCTGTTGCCAATAATATTATTAAAACCATACTGTATGAGCTTTAACAACAACAAAAAAAAGGTTTATTCTGTCTCATAGTTCTGGAGGTTCAAGGTCAAGAAGCTGCATTTTGGGCCGGGCATGGTGGCATATGCCTGTAATCCTAGCACTCAGGAGGCTGAGGCAGGAGGATCACTGTGAGTTCGAGACCAGCCTGGGCTACATAGTGAGTTCCACGTCAATCTCAACTAAACAGTGAGACCCTGTCTTAAAAAAACAAAAAAAATAAACAAGAAGCTGCATTTTGGTGATGGCCAAGTCACAAGGCAGGTCACACTGTAAAAGCCAAGGAGCCTACATACATATCTGTGTGTCCTCTGGTCTCTCTCCTTCTTCTTATGAAGCCAAGAGTTATTCAACCATGGGAGCTTCACCTTGGTGAACTGAGCCAATCTGAATCACCTCCCAAAGGCTCACCTCTAAAAACACTACAGTTGGATTAAATTTCTACCTTCTGAACACTTCACAATGGGAATTAAATCTCAATAAATGAGCCTTGGAGGACACATTCCAACCAAAACTTACCTAAAATTTGACCAATTCTCAACATTACTACTACCATTCTTACACAAACCAATGCTATCATCATTTCTCAAGTAGACCTTCTTACAAGAGCTGTCTGCTTCTGCCTTTTGACTCCAAAAAGAAAATTCCAAAATCTCATTCTAAAAGAGAAAACATCTTAAGATTTTGGTTTGGGAAAAGAAAGTCATGTCACAAAGTGTGGCATTCTGCCACCCTGCTGGCTCCACTACCATTTCCCCCAGGTTTGTGCTTCTTTCTCTAGTCCTATCAAGCCAATGCTTTTCTTTCTTACTGAAAAAACAGTGCCTTCTACAATTGGATCTTCTGATATTTTACTTTGTACCTTAAAGGACCTTTTCTAAAATGAACACTAGTGAGTAAAATTTTCTCCAATTAATATCTATATATCTATCACACCAATCTTTTAATACTTCATTACTGATATTCAAAAATATATCTTAATTTTTAAATTCTAATTCTCATACTACCATATTAAAATATAAATGCACTCAAAGTCTAGAAATACTAATTTTCCTTGAATATATCACACACATAAGCCACATATATACACACATACACAAATAAAGGTCTGTATAATACATTTTTTTGGGTAATGCAATTTCATTTGTACAGTAGCCTCCCCTATCTCACTAGCCACTTCTTGGTTTAGGTTATGCCTATAGCCTGTGTTTATTTTCTTTGCTACTTAGCGCTAGCCAATAACACTTTATCTTTATATTGAATAAAAAGTATATTCCTTTATTTATATATTCACTTTTATTTGATGTTTTAAAATCTAAAGCGATGATGCACTGGCAGGTTAATATATGAATTTACTACTAATGGGTAATAATACCTTAACTCTTTAGAATTATGTTGAGACCTTGAAAAACAATTCATAATTTTTCAAAAGATGTTACTTTTTACTGCAAGTATTACCAACCTGTTTGAACATCAATAACCATCTGATGGCCCCCTCTCATTCCTGGTCGGTTATCTTCTCCATCACCTGAAGCAGAAACGAAATTTTCTTTTAAAAGAACAATAAGAGGGCAAGGGATTTAGCTCAGTGGTTCTAATGCCTACCTCTCAAACGCAAGGACCCAAGTTTGATCCCGGTACCAAAAAAAAGGAGCAGCTGCAAATCTACAGTAACTTTGTAAGTTTATACTGGACAACAAAAATAACTCATACTTACTCTTTCAACATATTAAAAATGAGTAAAAGCATTCATAAAAATAGTACAACTTAAATCTATGTTTATAATTACTGTGATCTTCCTTTCAATTGCCTCCTGGCTATTAATGCAACCAACAGCTATTTTCAGCTTTCTATGAATGGCATAAATCAACAGAGGTACTGGATATTCTACAAAACACTAAGACAAAAATCTCAAAACTACAATACTGAAGTGTCAAAGTGAAGGTGTGTAACAATCACAAAATTAGGTCTCATGTCTGTGTATTCCAGATACAGTTTCTTGGTACAATGAACAGCTTTAAGGTTCATAAACTAGCTACACAAATCTGTTAACAAATTTTATATTAATGATAATTTCTTTACCATATTTATTGTGACAGTATTTCAGAAAGTTCCTGCATAATTCATTAACTATTCTGAATGCTAACTGAGAAATTATAAAATTTACTTCACTGTGATTTTTATTTTTACTCAGAGCTTAGTAGGGCAGTAAAAATATAATTTTTAAAATTAAAAATGGATATTTTCAAACTTTTGATGGAGAAAATTATTTTTCTATTTGTATCTAATTCTATTTTACATCAAGTCTTATACAAATGAAGAAATAATTTCATTTCCATGGTTCAAAAGGTTATAGAATTCCAGTATCTTAATAAAAAGAGGAAAGCATATTTTTAAATAACTTCCCCATCGACTGAAATACATAACTTTGCTAGTGAGATTTCTTGTTTTACTTATATAAAATTGAGAACTTTTACTTTTTTATTAATTTCACAGGGCTACTACAAAAACAACTGAAACATCAGTTCCTATATAGTCATGTACCATTTACAAATGAGAAAACATTTTAAGAAATGTGTCATTGTGTGAACATCATAGATCATCATATTTACACAAGCCTAGATGGTATAGCCTACTACAGCCATTTTTATCATTGAAAGCTCTAAAAGGTTTTCTGCCAGTACTATAGAACATGTTCCTATATTGAATATTGTAAGCAACTATAACACACTGAATCAATGTTTGTGTATGTAAACATACCCAAACACAGAAAAGGTTTGGTAAAAATATCAGGTGACAGGAAGCTTTAACTCCCTATAAACTTATGGGACCAACATTATTGACCAAAACATTGTTACACAGTACATGACGATATACTCAAAATTTGATGGAAAACCAACCCTTCTCATTATTATTGTATTTGATGGCTAATCGTTCACAAATTCCCTATAAATTCTTTCTCATTTCTAATAGATGGCTTTTTAGATTTTCCAGTTCAATGTTATTAAAGGTTTGTTTTCTTCTTCTCCCTCCCAGTCAGTATTATCACTTTAAAGAACTCATTAAGTAAAAACTAATGTGTTTTCATTTTATATATTTAACTCATTATTTTCCAAATACTCATGTGTCTCTTAAGAAAATTACCTCATGTGACATAAAATAGAATGATGCTCATTTTAACACAGAAATTATGGAAGTTTAAGAACAAATTTTCTCTGCATATTAACATCTAATATGATGAAGGGAAAGCTGTCTATGTTTAAAAAGAAGGCCTTAGCAATATATTAAGTCCATAAGGAAAAAACTTAAATCCATAAGGAATATCACATAGAACTGTCTTCCTTTAATGAAAGTAGTACATTGAAGAACAGCTGTACTACATTAACTCTCTGGCAAAGCAGTTAGTGCAGATGAAGAAGTGACAAAAACTTCCCTCTGTATGAAAATAATGCAGTTAGTAAAGATAAAGGAGACAAAAATTCCCCCTCTATAAAAATAATAGGTTAATGAAGCAGTATAAACTCTTGACTCAGATTCTGAGTGTTGATGAAAACAGTCCCTAGTAGAATCTAATGTCCTCTGTAATATACATCTCAAAGAAGAAAGTATAAGCCTCAACCCTTAAGGCTTCAAACTCACAGTAGTACTCAATATAAATGCCTGTAAAGATTCAACTGTAGTGGGCCAGGGATTTAGCTCAGTGGTTCCGCTGCCTGCCTTGCAAGCACAGGACCTGAGTTTGATCCCCAGTACCAAAAAGAAAAAAAAAAAAAGATTCAACTGTACTATTTTTTATTAGAATTATACTTGTTTTTATCAGTATCCAGTTAGAGGCTCCATACACTTATAGTGGTCTGCCCATTGTTGTTCTAAGAAGCCTTGTTAAGATTTAAGAGCAATTTTGCAGAACTTATAGTTTTCAGGAACACATAAACTTCAGCCTTGAATTTTATTATATTTTAGAAAAGCAATTTACAATGGTATTGTGTAAAAAAAAAAAAAAAAAAACAACAACAACAACAAAAACACAACCAAAAACTGACCAACCTTCTGTTACAGCAATAAAGTAAAAGTTTAAAAGATAATAAAGTAGGGTTGGGAATGCAGTCAGTAGTAGAGAACTTGCCTTGCCATATGCAAGACCACAGGTTTGATACACAGGAATGAAAAAGAAGAAAAAAAAAAAAACCACCATGTGTATGTGTGTGTAACTCTAGTTAAGGCACATATATGTTATTTTAAATGCCTGCTTTTTATAAACAGAGTTCTATGACACTTGAGCTATCTTGGGAAAATTAAGGACTGAGATGCTAAAGAAAAAGCACCCCAATCTAGAAAGCATGACTTACCTTTGGTGCTTTTGGGAATGATCTGACTCCATCGTGGCTTATATTCTTGTTGACTGATATACTGATTGAACAAGCCATCTACAAATATCAAAGAATGAGAAAGAATTATATCTTAGCCAGACTTTTTATTATAGAAAAAAATTAAAATGTAGAGCCCTACATTAAGAGCAATTACAAATATGTCACTAATATAACAACACATTTTCATAAAATATGCACCAGTTCAGGTTCTCTTCAAGCTTCCCCACATATAAACAATAAAGTGTTAGTTAATACCACCACAAAAAATTGCATTAGTGGCAGATCGTATTAATGTACTATATTTCTCAATATTATTGCATCTATTATATATAGTATAAGATATATTACATAAGGGCAATTATGTGGCATTAACAGAGGATTTAAATAGAGACCATGAGAAAAAAACAGGGGCATCATTTGGGAGGAAAAAAATTGGAAAGCAATTTAAGCCTATAAAACAGAAACAGACGATAAGATAATTTATAAATAATCTGAACAAATGTTCTAAAAGTCACTGAAACAAGGACATACCCAGACTTTAAAAATTGTTTCTGGAGTTCGATCGGTAGCGGGAGCGGAGAGCGGACCCCAGAGAGCCCTCAGCAGCCCCACCGCCGCCGCCGCCGGCCTAGTTACCATCACACCTCGGGAGGAGCCGCAGCTGCCGCAGCCGGCCCCAGTCACCATCACCGCAACCATGAACAGTGAGGAGGAAACCCAGAAGCTGCCCACCATCTCCCTACCTGGCTCTGCCACCCCCCGCCCTCAGCATTGCCAAGCCTGGCACTCTGGGCAGCAGTGCAGGGAGCAGTAAGGTTTTGGGAACAGTAAAATGGTTCAATGTAAGAAACGGATATGGTTTCATCAACAGGAATGACACCAAGGAAGATGTATTTATACACCAGACTGCCATAAAGAAGAATAACCCCAGGAAGTACCTTCGCAGTGTAGGAGATGGAGAGACTGTGGAGTTTGATGTTGTTGAAGGAGAAAAGGGTGCGGAGGCAGCAAATGTTACAGGCCCTGGTGGAGTTCCAGTTCAAGGCAGTAAATATGCAGCAGACCGTAACCATTACAGACGCTATCCACGTCGTAGGGGTCCTCCACGCAATTACCAGCAGAATTACCAGAACAGTGAGAGTGGGGAAAAGAATGAGGGATCGGAGAATGCTCCCGAAGGCCAGGCCCAACAACGCCGGCCCTACCGCAGGCGAAGGTTCCCACCTTACTACATGCGGAGACCCTACGGGCGTCGACCACAGTATTCCAACCCTCCTGTGCAGGGAGAAGTGATGGAGGGTGCTGACAACCAGGGTGCAGGAGAGCAAGGTAGACAAGTGAGACAGAATATGTATCGAGGTTATAGACCACGATTCCGCAGGGGCCCTCCTCGCCAAAGACAGCCTAGAGAGGACGGCAATGAAGAGGATAAAGAAAATCAAGGAGATGAGACCCAAGGTCAGCAGCCACCTCAACGTCGGTACCGGCGCAACTTCAATTACCGACGCAGACGCCCAGAGAACCCTAAACCACAAGATGGCAAAGAGACTAAAGCAGCCGATCCACCAGCTGAGAATTCGTCCGCTCCCGAGGCTGAGCAGGGCGGGGCTGAGTAAATACCGGCTTAACATCTCTACCATCATCCGGTTTAGTCATCCAGCAAGAAGAAACGAATATGAAATTCCAGCAATAAGAAATGAACAAAAGATTGGGAACTGAAGACCTTAAGTGCTTGCTTTTTGCCCATTGACCAGATAACTAGAACTATCTGCATTATCTATGCAGCATGGGGTTTTTATTATTTTTACCTAAAGACGTCTCTTTTTGGTAATGACAAACGTGTTTTTTTAAAAAAGCCTGGTTTTTCTCAATACACCTTTAAAGGTTTTTAAATTTTTTCATATCTGGTCAAGTTGAGATTTTTAAGAACTTCATTTTTAATTTGTAATAAAAGTTTACAACTTGATTTTTTCAAAAAAGTCAACAAACTGCAAGCACCTGTTAATAAAGGTCTTAAATAATTAAAAAAAATTGTTGCTGGCACTCATATAAATACAATGGGCAGAGGAAAGGATAAAGATGAGGAAAACTACATTTAATTCCATTATGTGATCTCCCATCTCTCATCTTTAACTACATTTTAATCTTTATACCCTCAAATGAAATGGATTCACTGCACTTGATACCTTCCATTCAACAGTGATCTGTGTCAGTACTTTTTCTTAGCAAAATACAATAGAACTAGAAAAGGAATGGAGGATCAGCATCTTTAGTTTAGTCACCGTATAATACATCTTCAAAATATTAAAACTAACTCTTTATGGTGCAATTTCCATTATTACACAGGATTTTTTTTTTAGTGCAAGACTAGCAACAAAAGTAACAACAGTAGCAACAGAACTATATTTATTTTTTCTTTTACTTTTTTAGTATGCACCTGTACTACATGATTACATACATGTAAAGGATTAGCATTTTCCCCCTCCCATCTTTTATTTTTCCAGCATCAGATTCATTTATTTATAAGACCTTATAAGATAATTATCATATATACGGTTGAAAACCAGACTAATAAGTAGAGAACATATAAGACAATTGTACAAAGTTAAAGTACATTTTTCGATACTTTGTTCACACTGGATTACAATATCTTTTTTACCCTCTTTACTCCCATCATCTGTCTTTTATTTTGTACTTTATGTACATATGTACTTTTTCCATATGAGAGAAATCATGCACTATTCAAACGTGTGTGCCTGAGTTAATTCACTTAATATTATAGTCTCAGGGCACTTCCATTCTCCTGCAAATGACTTGAGTTTATCCTTTTTATGGAGGAGTAGTTCTCCATTGTATATAAGTATCACATTTGTTTTATCCATTAATTTGTTGATGAATATACAAGCTGTTTCCAAGATTTAGCTATTCTGAATTACTCTGCTATAAACATGGGCATCCACACATCATTGTGCTATCATATCTTTAACTGTTTTAGGAAGATATCTAGAAGGGGAAAGCTGGGTTAAATTTCTACTTTTAATTTTTTGAGGACTCTCCATAATGATTTCCTTAGTATCTGTATCAGCTTACAATCTCACCAACAATGGAGAAGGGTTTCTTTTTCCCCCACAGCCTTGCCAGCATTTGTTACTGGGTGATTTCTTAATGGCAGCCATTCTTTCCGAAGTGAGTTGGAATCTCAGAGTTGTTTTAACCTGGATTTCTTGAATGGCCATTGAGGGTGAACACTTTTTCATGCATTTACTGGCCATTTGTATTTCTTCATCTGAAAAGGGTCTTCATTTCAGATGCCCATTTTTTAAACTGAGTCTTCAAATTAGAGTAGTCTAATTATTTTGATTTCTTTATATATTCTAGATACTACTAGTCCCTCATCAGAGGAGCAGCTGGCAATTTTGTTTTCCCATTCTGTAGGTTGTCTCTTCACTCTTAGTGATTTTCTTTGCTACACAAAGAACTTATTTTACTGAATACTTTCCAAATGTTAAAATCTGTGCTGCTTTCCTTCTCTGGTTTAATTCCAAAAATATACCTAAGAACCAGGTATTATGAGGCCGGGGATGAAGCTCAGTGGTTCCGCCACCTGCGCAAGGACCCGAGTTCAATCCCCAGTACCAAAAAAAAAGAACTAGGTATTATCATCTACCTTACACATATGGAAATACATATTTACAAAAAGTAAATAACTTAACCAAACACACACAGCTCTTAAATAGTGGGGTAGGAACTTAGGTTTTACATTTTTTAATCTTTCATCAATAAATTCTTCACCTACTTCTTAAGAGGGGTTGTCACAGTGATTCCCATAACTGTAGTGGTCTGAGGTTCCCACAAGCATTCATTCTTCCCCAAAAAACTGTCAAAAGCCCCAACCCATACTCCTCCTCAACAAAGATTTGTTTAGGAATAGTATGGAACCCGATTCTCTAGACAGTGCTTCACTGACTTCAAACAGACATACAGGTCAGAAAAATAATCTAATTTTATTCCTCTAGACATTTTCATATCCATATGCAGTGTACAACTGCAAAAGTCAATTTGTAGAGGTAAGAAAATGAAACTGATACTATAATGATGACAGAATGGAGGTGAAGAAAATCTGACACAAAATCAACCAATCATAAAATCTATCTTATCTCTGGACTTCTTGTTATGTGATGTAATAACATTTCCTTACCAAGCTGGAGTTTATTTTGTATGTACTCAAATGCATCATAATTCATAACTACCTTTACTATAAATTGAGTCTGATTTCATCCTGAATAAATGTTTTGCTTTTAGTCACTGAAACCAAAGACTTGTCCAAAGAATTTATAAGTAAAACTGTCTCCATGACTTACATTATTTGTCAGTGACATGCAACTTAGATGAATCTCCCTAATCTCTTTTTTTTCTGGGTCATTTATGAAGCTCAGTTTTAACCAACTTTTTCAGCTTTCAAGTGTTTCAGCTTATTTTAATGGGAAATTCCATCCTATACAACACTCATCAAAATTTTCTTTGCCTTTACAATTTTTTTTAATGTTTTTAAAACTTTTTAATTTGCCCGTCTCTTGCTCTTTATTACTTTTGCCTCTTCCAGTCAAGAAGTCACACGATTCTTTTTGGTGGCTCTCATTCCACCATAGAGATTATTAGAAATGTGAAGGATATTACTCACATATAGCATTATCAAATCAGGAAATACTTTTTAAAAAAGGAGATCTCACGCAAGAACTGACTTTTATTGAGCATCTACTGGATGAAGATACTAAACAGGTTAACTCATTTATACAATAAAACCATGTATTGAACATTATTAATAAAGGTAAAGTTTGGAAAATCAAGGTTTACAGAAGTTAAAGTTTAAAGGTGAATTTCAAAATCCATATTTTAATTTCATAAACTGTAAAATATAGCTAACACATATATCAAAGAGTGCTTCCTTAAAAATCTGAGGTCAAACATTGTAACAGCAGATATGGAAAATTTCATATGTTCTACTTAAGAAGAAATGAAAAAGAGTCAGACAAAAATTATTGTTCCAGATCATTCTA